CTTATTAATGTGAAGGCAAAATTATTATGAAATGTATAAAATAATAAGGGACCTATTGATGATATAATGTTTAAAGGTTATAAGTCTTTTTCAAAATGTGTAAGATCATTTATCCCCCATCACCACCGCAATTTTTATATTTTTATACATCCTTTTTATATTTAATATTAAAATCTTAAAATATAAAATCTCATAAATAAAGACTTTTACGGTCTTATAAATTAAAATTTTTAAATTTAATTAATTTTCAATAATACAACTAAACAATAAAAATTGTCTATAAAATATTTTTTAAAAATAAGTTATTTTTCAAAAATAAAAGATAGTAAAATTATTCACATTTTTTTCACCTCAGTTAATCAATACTCATATTTAGTGGACAACTTTGTTCATATTTCATAATAATTTTGATGTGTTATATCTGTTACAATAATTTATTACTTCAGAAATATCTATGCATTTCAAAACAAATTTCTATTCCTTTAAAGTTTTCTTTTGTTAGTATTATAAACATAGTAAGGTAGAATGGTAGATGAAAGCAACACTTCAAAATTGCAAAAAATCCACTAGCTTCCTACTTCAACAAGTACATTTCAATAAATAAAATGTATGTTTCTACCAAAGCAAATATCCATATTAAGGCTGAAAAAATAGATCCACAAAGAAAGCAAAATACTTCTTTGACCAAATATATAAATTCACTTATATATATTTGCGAAAAATCTCATGATACCTTTAATTTTTTTAGAATAAATCAAACTAGAAATTTCATTAATTGGAAAATATATAAAAATATATGATACATATCGATGTGTTTCTATATTTTTGTATAGTAAATCTAATAAAAAAACCACTTATACAAAAAAATAAAAAAAAATACAATCTTGATTTGAAGTATCTGATCGAGTTGACAAAACATAATATTAGTGTCATAGCGATCGCTTGCTCCACTTGGTGGCTATTCATGGCCACTGTTCGACTCCATGGTATTTTTACAAGTTTGTCTGATTACCTTTAAATTTCTTCATTTTATTGGAGAGGAAATTTACACTTTATTTTTTTGCATAATTATCCAAATAATAAAAGACGCCAGACAAAATCATCATAATGGTGATAACAATAACTCAGAACTAGATCAGAGAATAAAATTTCAAGATATGGACAACAATCAATCTCAATATTTAGACGACAATAAATTAGATCTGTAAACAGATATGATGATTATTTACAAAAAAAAAAAATAATAAAAAAGGAAAAGGAGTGACCATTGGTCTAGCAGGCGTGAAAGAAGAAAGTGCTTTTAGATTTTAGGTTTTGAGAAAGAGTTTTTAAAAATATTTGATACCTATAACTTTTACCGACTCATTAAATTAAATTTTCAATTTATAAAATTATACTCATTAAACACTTTAACTTTTTAAATCATTATGTTTAATGTTCCAATTTGTAAAACTAGATCGATCAAACACTTAATATATTAAAAATGCGAAAAACATTATTCTGGAAGTTGTACTAATCGCACATCAAATCAATATTTTATATATAAAAATAAAAAAATTTCAAAATTAGTATTAAAATAGAGATGTACAATGTTTCCAAAATTAATAACTTTAGAGGCACAATAGATTTCCCAAAAAAAATTACAGTTCCGCACAAGAATTTTTTGCGGAAAACACAGGGTGAATTTATCTATTTCAACATACTTCCTGAGATTTCACGTCTCACCAATTTCCTCGTGTGTGACGAATGGTTTGGCCCAAACGAAAAGAGAACCCATAAATCTTTCCATTTTGCAAAATGACAACGTCGTTGGATATCCTTTTCATAGTGGAACTGTGTAGTAAAAGCCCAAAAGGCCTAAAACAAACTTTATTCCCCATGTATCCCTCTCATAGTAAATGCGATGTCGTTTAACGGTAATGATACACACCATGTGTGTAGTTTTTCCATTTTAGTTTCTGAATGGAAATGAAAAAAAAAAAAATTATGATTAAATATCTGAATTATTATGACAGAAAATCTAGAATGAACCTTTTTACTTAATGAATAATATAAAGTACAAACATTCATTCAATTTGTCACTTTTTTATTTTTTTAAATTTTTATTATCTCATATTTCTTGTAAAAAAAGATTCAAAAATTCTTTTTAATTGTTTTTAAATTCCAAAATAGAATAAAAGAGAGTTACAAAAATAAATAAGAAAAAGAAAATAATAATCTATATAAATAAATAAAGTAAAACAATAGAGTAAAATGGTTAATTTTGATTTTTAATGAAAACTTTAGCTAAATGTATTTAATTACTCCCTCCCTCCTAAAAAGATAGTCCATTTTTTCTTTTTAATTTGTTCCAAAATATAATTCGCTTCCCTTTTTTACACTATAGTTAATCCGTAAATTATTTATTATACCCTTATTAAAATTTATCTTATTTTCAATATTCCTCATTAATTCTTACTTATTACTACTTTTGTTCCATAATATTTGTTACATTTAGAATTTCAAATTTTTTAAGAAAATCATTAAATTTGTCTAAATTACAAAATTCACGATATTACTCTTAATTTAATACTAATTATCTAAAAATACCATTAAATTAAAGTAACAATTATTAGTCATATACAAAAAGTAAATATGAAAAAAAAAATTGTTATTCCTTGAAACTACAAATGTGACAAGTATTTTTGAACAAACTATTTTCTCAAATTAAAAGTAACAATATATTAGTCATATACAAAAGTAAATATGAAAAAACAAAAATTGCTTATTCCTTGAATGAAAATGTGACAAGTATTTTTTTTGAACAAACTATATTTCTCAGAATGTAAAGTATTTGGAATATAATGTAATATACTTATAAAATAATTTGTCACGTGTTATCTTAAGATGTACATTAATAGAAAAGTGATTATGAATAATATACAAAAAGTAAATATGAAAAAAAAAATTGTTATTCCTTGAAACTACAAATGTGACAAGTATTTTTGAACAAACTATTTTCTCAAATGTAACAAGTATTATGGAATATAATTAATATTTTTATAAAATAATTTGTCACGTGTTATTTAAGATGTACATAATAGAAAAGTGATATGAATAAATTTGTCCTTTAACCATAATAATTGTTACTTTCTTAATCAGTGTGAAAAAAGGAAGTGGACTATTTTTAGAACAGAGGCAGTATATAAATGTTATCAATTCAAATACTTATGATCCGTTTGTTTCTGTAAAATAACTTGCTGAAAAATATTTTTCATGGAAAAATATATCCTTAAAAAATATTTTCCAAATGACATATTTTCCGTTATTTGGTTGTAATATTGAAAATCAGTTAAAAATATTAAAGTTTTTATTTCATAATACCACAAAAATAATAATAATAATAGAAATTTTATAATTTAAAAATTTTATTGTTAAATATGGGAAGAATGAAAAAAATGTAAATTATGAGAGCTTTGGTAGTGGTCGATGGTAAATGGTGACCGATGATAGTGACTGCAATGATTAATAAATTAAAAAAAATATAGATTTATAAGGTTTGTAATGTTCGGAAACTATTTTACTCTCTCAAAAATGAAAAGTTATTTTCCTTAAAATATGACTTAATTTTACTTTAACCAGAAAAATATTTTATGTTGACTTATTTTTCTGAACACTCAAAATAACGAAAAATTGTAAAAAATATTTTTCTACGAGTTATTTTACTGAAATAAAGGGTGTTTATGATAAACTTTTAAGCAAAATAAAAACAAATTAATGTAATTAGCCTTATATACCTTATATATTTAATAAAGGATATATACATAACTTTTATTTTTGGATTTTATAATTTTAATTATTTGGCATATTAAACTTTATGGAAGATCTATTATACTCTTGATTTGCATAAATTGTATACATTTGGATACATTGTATCCCTCTTCATACTAAAATAATAATTTGTAAAATTTTTTCTTTTATATGTAAAATATTAATGCTAAGTGTCCTCGGTATGACTTTTTGAGTGTTTAATGAATATAAATTTATAAACTGAGGGACATAATAAGTCTTTGAAAAAATTAGTATGCCATATGGTTAAATGTTTGAATTTTATGGCATTTTTATATATATAGCCATTAATATAAAAATAAATTTCAAATTGTCCCGTCACGCGGTGACCTTGTGAATAAAAAACAAAAACTTGACATTTTGACAATTTGCCTATCAACTATTCATTGTTTTACGCGATTTTCAGAAAATAATTATTTTATGCGAACTTACAGTCAAACAGTTTAAAATGTTATGATATCACAAGATCTCACGTCAAATTATAAATTTAGGGGGTAAATTGAGTGAAAATGACAATTTTGAGTTTTTATTTAAATATTTGTGCTTTATTTCTTTAATTAATGATGTAAATGATTTATCTAACTTGACTAGGCTCAATCAAATTTAAGAATTTTGAACTCGAATTTGGTTCGAGTTTAATTGAATTTAAACCTATTTATTTTGAAACGATAAGACTAGAATCTTAAGCTCAATTTTTTATCATTTACGAATTTAAATATAATTAAGAGTCATTTATAACTCTATATTTAAAAAAAGAATTTTATTCTTATATTTTATTATAACATATAATTGCACTTACATTTTTAGAAATATATAGTTTTATTTTCATTTTTTTGCTTCCATTGCACGGTTGTATTGTTCTATCAATTTTTTTTACTTTTTTTTTATTAGAATTACTATTTTGTTTCTTATAATTTTTTAAAATTAATTAATGCATCCATGTATTTAATAATTATTTTTTCTTCATATTTTATCAAAATTAACTAATTTATCCATTTATTTAATAAAAATATATATTTTTTGAGAAATAGTAAAAAATATAGAAAATTGATAGGAAAAGAATATAACATTATTATTTTCCTTTCAGCAGACCATTAAATAACTTGTTTTCCAAACGGAAAAAACAGCTTTAACGGCGAAGGCTTTTGTCTATTTATCTATATATAGAAAAAATAAAGAACAACTGAGCCTTTCGGATCGGGCATATGCTTTGCAGATCCTATTTCCCACTGCACTCTCTTGCACGGCTACGCAACATTTCTCCGTTTTCTTTATTCTATTTTTCCCTTTCCATTTCCATTGGCGCCTTCTCCTTGTAGAATTCTAAAATATAATTCAAATTGCAGGGTTTATTTTATAATTTAACAACATAATTCTCAAAATCTATTTCTATCCACAATGGAATCGATACAGAGCCGAGTAGAATCATGGATCAAGGACCAGAGAGCGAAGATCCTCAAGGTATCTTGGGGTCCGCTGCAGTGGAGGATGAAATGGCCTCCATGGATTAACAGTGACGACAGAGAACAGAAGAAGATTATTCAACAAGAATATGAACGTAGAAGGAAGCAACTCCACGATCTTTGTCTCGCTTTCAAGGCTGAGTCCGTCGCCGATTTGCAGGAAATTCTTTGTTGCATGGTCTTGTCAGAGTGTGTTTACAAGGTAACACTAATTATTTAGTGGGAGAATTTTGGAGAAGAAATTGATGCTATTAGGGCGAAATGGAATTTAGGAAACTTGCATTTTTCAGGAATGGAAATGGTTGCTTAGAATCAGAGTTTTGTATTTTGGTTTTGAAGAATAGAGCTTTACTTTCACTTTCAATACCCAGAACTTTAATTTCCGTAGGCCTTTCCCCTTTTCTTTTATTTTTTCTAAAGTTAGCAAATTCAAATTAAGGTACAGCTGTGTGGTTCTGATCTTACAAACGCTGAAAAAGGAAACATTAGAAACTCGAAATTATGAAATTTTATAACTGATTGTTTATGACAAACTGTCATTTTAATTGCTATTCTCTTTACAATCAACCGAAGATCTGATTTAATTTGGTCCTTTTGGGAGTAAGCAGTATTCGGTTCTGGTGTGAACTGTTGATGGTCGGCGTTTGATTTTGCTAAACTGGCCTTACTAGATGTCTCTATTATTGCAACTCGGTATAGGAGGTTGTTGTTAATTGTAAGCTTTGTTGTTGATCTGTAATTATTGTAGGTTAGGTTATTTGAGTTGAACGGGAGTGGGTTATTACTGGGATTACAATTTATCTCAATGTATGCTTCAGGTTATTTCTTTGTTTTCCTTTTTTTTTTTTTCAAGACGATATTAATAAAACACACTGAAGGACTGTTGGCATCACCAATGTATTCTAGGGGTATACAATATACAAAATCTATCCACAGAATTTATGAAAGTAAAAATTATTAAATGAATGGCTCTAAACATATCGAAGGAAGATTCTATATTTTTACAGGTACTTATTATAGCCAATGAACTTCTAATTGCTCTTCATAAAGTGTTAAATTTGATCTAAGTGTTTTTTGACATGAAACAATCTATTGTAAAAGTTTTGATTGCTAGGAGCTATTGGCTTTTCAATGTGGTGACTGGTCTACTTACAGAAATGAAAAATGTTTTTCATTTACTTATGATGTTTATTCTTCATTACATGATAGAGACCAGCAACTGAAATGGTTCGTGCTGTGAACAAATTTAAGGCCGATTTTGGAGGACAAGTTGTTTCTTTGGAGCGTGTCCAGCCCTCTTCGGATCATGTTCCTCACAGGTTCTTTTGCACTCCTTGCTTAACCCTTCATTAATTGCTGACCAGTTTGTGACTCTATAAATTCTTAGAACTTAGAAGTTGTAATTCCAGGTTGATTAGATTCATTGTTTTAGTAGTTCAAATCATTTGATATCTTCTGCTGCAGAAGTTCAGAATATGGATAATAATCTACAATGGGAATTTTTTTGCTACATATATTACATTCTTACATTCTGAATCCAGTTCATGATGTAGGTTTGGTTTCTAAGCCATGTTAACAACCGCTATATTAGCCTTGATATTAGAAACTTCAAGAGAATTGAATGAGGAATGCGTAAAGCAGTTGATAATAGGATATTGCTTAGACATTCACAGATTTCGAGTTATGCATACTGTGATATTTGATTTAAGATATTTTATCTGATATTCTTAGTTTAGGATATTTTATCTGATATTTATTCTTTACTTTGCATTCATATTATAATTTGGTCGCCTTTTTATTGCTGAAGGTACCTATTGGCAGAAGCAGGCGACACATTATTTGCTTCATTTATTGGGACGAAGCAGTACAAGTAAGTGCTATGGAAATTTCATGGTTCTGCTTTCCATGTTATTTATGACGTTTAAAAATGTGATTCTTTCCCTTTTCTATCTAATTTTATTATCAGGGATGTTGTGACCGATGTAAATATACTGCAAGGTGCTATATTTCATGAAGATGCCATGGTTGCTACCCAGATGGAAGCTCTTGAATCATCACAATGTGAAAGCCAAAAGGCAAATGGGGAAGGTCAACGGCACCCCCTCGAACCAAAGCCTAAGCAAATGAAAGATCAGCCTAAGCCTGCTGCTCATCGAGTAAGATAGCTTTTTCATTTTTGCTATCCTTTTGAATATGCTGTTCTTATATATGTCAATAAATCTTTGACTATTTTGTCTGTATTATGCTTTGCATTTATGTTCCTCCAGCCAAATTCCATTGTATCTGCCCGTTTAATTTTAAGTAATTTTCTTAGGGTTTCTTGGCTCGTGCTGAAGGGATACCTGCTTTAGAGTTGTACAGGCTTGCCAAAAAAAAGAATCGCAAACTTGTATTGTGTGGGCATTCACTTGGTGGAGCAGTAAGTTTGATTAACATCCTTAGCATTATGGAAACCACTCCTTTTTGATTAATGAATTTTTCATTTTCTAATTTTTCTCAATTGTAGGTAGCAGCATTGGCTACACTTGCCATTCTGAGGGTTATTGCTGCGTCCTCTCCATCAAAGGAAGATGAAAAAATTCAGGTTAAATGTATAACATTTTCGCAACCGCCAGTTGGGAATGCTGCTTTAAGAGAGTACGTCTGTTTTCATCTCTATTTCAGAAGTAAAAAATTGAAAGTTTAAATAACTTATTGGTTTGCTCTTTTCTGAAATGTGACAAGTTTAATTTATTATGTCTTTGTTTTTCTTGTTTGCCCCCTTCAGCTATGTGCATGAAAAAGGCTGGCAGCACTATTTTAAGAGCTATTGCATTCCTGAGGATCTGGTGCCCCGAATCCTTTCTCCAGCTTATTTTCATCATTATAATGCGCAACCTTTATCGATGCCTGCTGAGGTTGAAAATAGTAGTCAATCAGTGTCAAAACATCAGCAACGAATAGAAAAATTAAGGGAACAGAAACCAAAGGAGAATGAGGGAGAGCAGTTGGTTCTTGGTTTAGGCCCTGTACGTACTTCTTTTTGGAGACTTTCGAGGCTTGTTCCTTTAGATGGTTTTAGAAGGCAATTGAATAAATATACAGGAAGACAAGGTTTTTCCACAGAGACATCTGTGACAACTAATTGTGGGATATTATCTAGAATTGAGGACGATGTAGCTGAACCTCAGTCTCTTGAAATCCAAGAGGGTTCTGATGGCATATCACTTAAAGTGTTATCCGACACCAATAATGGGCCATCTGATGTAGCAATGGATGGAAAATTGGGCAAAAAAGGCAACGATAAAAATGGAGAGAGAAGAAATTGGTGTGGAGTGCCTTATTTACCTTCATATGTCCCATTTGGGCAGGTAAGAACGTGGACATAGTTTATCTATATTACGATCTGTTTTATTGAAAATGCTAACATTCATGAGAGCTGGAAAATTGGTTGAAACTTGAAAGCAGTAGAAATGTTCACTCCTAGCAGTCAAATGCACAACCTATAATACCTCATACAGGATACTTTTGGCCCAAATGTGTGCCTGAGGGATGTGAGGTGCACATTTATTAGAATGTGTTGCTTGTATGAAAAATAATATTTTCAATTGGCAAATGGTAATAACTGAATGAAAAAGCATCCAGAAATTCAGATCAAATCATAAATACTACAAAAGGGATAACTTCTAAGGCTTGTTCAAGATAACACGTAAAGCTGAAAATCAAAATCTGAAAATTTTAAAGCTAAATTTTGAGTATTGAATAATATAGGTGCTGAAATTTCTAAACTACAAAATTGTTTAAAAACTCAATGACTAAGCATGTTTAGCTCAATTTAAGCTAAAATTATCTTTTTAAACTTAATTGAGGCTTTTAAGTCATTTGTACAAAACCATTATTAAACTTCTAAAAGAATAAAAGCCCTGGAAAGTTGTGCTGAAATGCACTATTGAAAACCACCTAAATACAAAGAAATTGTAGACACATGAGGCCATAGTTGCAAACTCTCGCTCTTATTCTGAACCAATATTGAAGCTTTTAAGTGATTTGTATATAAGCACAATTAACATCTCCAAAATAAGAAGTCCTTAAATTTTAATTTTAAGAGTTGAATTGCACTATCAAAAACCACCTAAATGTAAAGAAATCATAAACAGATAAAGGCCATAATAGTAAACTCTAACTTCTATGCTCAACCTATACGCCAATACTAAAAATTTATTTTATGCACAGAAGACTATGGTAAAAACTATTAGTGACTTATTAGCTGTTGGCTTTTACTGTGCCACATTAATGTATACAAACCCACATTAAAAAAAGGATTAAAACTTGCCTTAAGTTTACTGCAAAACATGAATATTCCAAAATAATTCAAATCCCTAATTTCTAAATTGTGAAAGATTGAAAAAAAGGTTAAAAAAATGTACCCAGAACACAAAAAATTCAAAAATCATAATTTCAGAACATAAACTTTTAAGATTATGTAAAAACATCCAAACAATCTAAATCAGTCTAAATGTCTTATCAATTTTGAAGAGTTCTCAATGGTCTTAAAATGTAATTCAATTTATAATAACCTTGAAGCATAATTTACAATCCAACCAGCATGTTGGTTTTGCCTTCAGTTATGTGCTTTGCTTGAGACAATCAATTCTGTGACAAGTTGCTATGGAGGTTTTGTTTAAAATAATGAGTCTTCTAAATGTATGATGACCCTACAACCTGTGGATCTATCTTTTGTACTCAATATTACAACCTCCATAATGTAACTGAACATGATGTCTTTTAATTATCATGTGACGGTAATGATATCTTATTTGTATCAGCTGTATCTGTTGGGGAGTTCTTCAGTGGAATTACTATCAGGTGCAGAGTACTCAAAATTAACATCGGTAAGAGTTTCCTTCACTCACCAACCTTTTTTTTTCTTCTTAATTCTGGCTGAAATTTAAATATCATGTCATGTACAAATAGCAGAGGGTGGCTTTAGTATAATGGTAAAGCAACTTCATTGACCTGGAGGTCATGAGTTTGATCCATAGTAACAACCAAGAAGCAGCCTCTCTAAAAAGCAGGAGGAAGGCTGCGGACATCAATCCTCCCTAGGGGCCACAAAAAGTGGGATGCTTCATGCATTGGGTCATCCCTTTGTCCTGTACAAATTGCATGATTTATCATAACTTTTCATCTCTCTTTGTAGTGGCTGGAGGTAGTTGATTTTGGGACCTCCCATTTATTTGATTTCTTCTGGCAAAGACATTTTCAGGTCAGATCTGTGATTGCTGAACTAAGGGAACGATTTCAATCACATTCGATGCGATCTTATCGGTTTCGATTTCAGAGGTATTTACTATTGTCTGCTGAAGTTTACCCTTTGTAGTTGTTTGTGTATTTTGTAATTGCTAGGAGTCTAGGTATGTTTTTTTGCTTTCCAATTTGTAACTATCTTTACATGAGCTGGTTGTCTGCTAGTGCCATATTTCCAAAGTCCAATTTGCAAATCTTTCTGACTAGGTTTATTTTACTTTTATACTAGCTTCAACTTTACTTTGATATGACACCAATGGTTGCAACAATAGAACAGGCTTTAGTATGTAACCTGGGTAAATTTAACAATATATACTTGTAATGTTCGAGTATGTTAGCAACAGAAATTTTCAACTACCAGATCTTCCTCTGTCTAACAACAATATTTACTTAAAATTTCTTGTCCTGATACCATCTTTTGGAGGACAATCGAAACTTGAGTAACTGGAGTTTCATGCATCTTCAGTTGCTAGCAGCTTGGAATGGTATCAAGAAGACAATGGTCTCTGCGTGGTGCCTCTTTCTCTGAAAATGCTGCTGCTTCCACCACCTAGGAATGATGTGTTTTGGGAAATTTGTGGTGCCATCAGAATTGCTCTTTTTTTTTTTTCTAGTTTTATTGGTCCTTTGATCAATTGAATGTATCATGCTCATTACTTGTTTTCAAATTATCAGGTCCATTTTTAGTTTTGAAGAGAGGTGTTATCTGTGCAAGGTTGGATTTGAATATGAGATAATGTCCTTATTAGAAATGTAATGAAGGAAGAGATAATTGAGTTGCATTGTCAATTATTTGGAAGAATCTGGGAATTTCTTAAAATAACTGTACCCGCCATATTTAGAATCTTTGGAATAAACTGGGATTTGAGAGTTTGGGTTTTGAAGAATAAACCAGAAATTGAGAGTTTTATTGCTATGTTAATGGCCTAAATTTATAGTGGTAATTTTGTTTCCCTCTTGTCATGAATAGCTCAAACTTCTATTCTTTTTGAAGATGAAAGTGGACATTTTCCATCTGGAACAGGGGGTTTCCTTCTTGTCAATGTTCTTAGTTCTGGTGGAAGACTGGGAAATTACCTCTGAGTCTCTGACTTTATTGCTGCTGTTAGGTTCATAACCATGTCAAACATGGGTATCTTGAACTTTTCATTATGTTTCCATTGTGTAGATGATTCTACTTAGCATCTAATATCTATTAGTGCCTGGAAGGGATGCATTAGGGTAAAGTGCAGCATTGGAGCTCAGAACTGCTAGGTTAGAGAGACTTTAGTTTTTATACTTCTTTTGTTGCAACATTCAACAAATACATCTCTACCTGTTAATATTCACTTGACAGGTGGCCTAGATTGTTTCCTCCCTAAAAATTGTAGGTCTATGACAATAATTCTGTGAAACAATAAATGATCATAAAACTGTTTTCAAATTGTTTTATAGGGAGTTGCATGAGAAGCTACTGAAGTGCATTGAGGTGAGGAGTCCAAATGGCTACTAAATCTGGTTTTGATTACCTGTTCATAGTTTTTAAAAGTGGCATGTTTTTGGTATGTTTCTCATAAATCTTAATTATTACCCATGAATGTACATGCAATGCGTTATTTTCTCCTCCATAGGAATTTTTCCCTTCTCCTGGATCAGTCGTTTAATTATGTGGTGAAAATAGGGCATACTTCTAGAGATTCAAATAGCAAACAAAAGAAATGGTTTTTGGATGATTTGATCATTTTAGGGAAAGAGTTGGATTTCAAACTACTTCTTTCTCTCATAGCTTTTGAAAATCTTTATGCAATTTTGGATAGTGTTTATAAGGTTAAGTAGAATGAAATATTTCTATCCTGCTAATGTGCAGAATCTATGAAATGTGCATGGATGATGGTGCTTCATCATTCCCAGGAATGGAGCAACTGCCTCAGTTTCTGCATTTACAACAGTGGCTTGGCCTTGCAGTAGCAGGTGCTGTAGAGCTTGCTCAGATTGTAGAATTGCCAGTTATTCGCACAGCCACATCTATTGTTCCTCTTGGATGGAGTGGTGTTCCTGGTGAGAAAAATGGAGAACCCTTAAAAGTTGATATCACTGGTTTTGGCTTGCACCTTTGTAACTTGGTTCATGCTCAAGTTAATGGTAACTGGTATTACCCTTTGTCTCCTTTTCCTATTTAATTTTTGATCATCTAATATGATGGCTAATCAGTGTGATTTGAGGGTTATGCACTGCCAATTAACTGCAAATCTGCATTGATAAGTTTGTTTGATATGAAGATATGATAAAGCTTTATTGTCACCTAATGTCCTAATAATCATATTACCATTTCTTTTAGCTGGATCTCTTTGGTCTACATGAACCTAATTCTTTTCTGAATTTGTTTTATTCTCTGTTTGTGCATGCCTCCACCATGTGTATTGTCTCTAAATCCTCTCTTAATGAGGACATACTCTTCATCTCATGCACATTTGTGAATTCAATTACTTGTCAAGTTTCTTTTTTCAAAAACCATTTACTTGTTTAGATATGGTTTTGGATTATATCCAAAATATCATTTTTCATCCACTGGGGGGCATTTACATGTGTGCTACATGAAAGGAATCAGCCATCATCCTCCCTAATCTTCAACTCAACTACCTGATTGGGCCCTACCATATGGACCATTTTCATTCATATCATTTAGTGTGGGGTAGATAGAGTTGCATTTGGATCATTTTATGTCTATGCTTTTGCATATGTGACTTTCTCTGAAGGCTATATGTGTGACTTAATTTTGTGCCTATGCTTATGCATTATGGATCCAGGTGTTCAACTACAGTGGAGTCATTTCCTTCAGTGCCCAGCTACTCTTCGGGGCATGAAGTAAAGCCAGAACTACAAAAGATAAGGGTTTTGGTTGGAGCTCCTCTAAAACGACCACCAAAGCTTCCAATAGTGGCGGATTCCTTTATGCCTGTGTTTCCTTCTATTGGTTCAGATGCTGGTAATCTCAAAAGAGAGCATAGTTTAGGGCATCAAGAGAAATTCCTTCCTGAAGGTTTGAGTGATTTTTGCATTTTTTGTACAAGTGATTTTGCTACTGTCTCTAAGGAGGTCCACCTCAGAACTCGTAGGGTACGATTACTTGGCCTTGAGGTAATTGTATATTCTAATTTCTAAACTGTATTTGCTCTCTAAATATTTGTTTTTCATGTAACTACAACTCTTTTTATTTTTTAGGGTGCTGGTAAAACGTCTCTTTTTAAGGCAATCATGAGTCAAGGCAGACTGACCCATATAACGAATTTTGAGAATATGCATACAGAGGCTAATGTTCAAGAAGGCATTGCTGGTGGTGTATGCTACACTGATTCAGCTGGTGTAAATTTACAGGTACTTTTGCCCTTACATTATGTTGACAGGACGTAATCAGTGCCGTAACTTGATTTCAATTATGCTGAATTTGTTTTGTTAAATAAAGAATAATTCATGTAATTTAATGCCTTTAACAATCAGTACCTAAATTTAAGTAATGGAATGCCATTACATGCAAAGGTTACCACGTTCTTTTTACTTCCACTACCATCCTTGTTGCTACTGTCCATTGTGTACCCTGGCATCTGCCACCAGTACCCAGCAACCAAGACCACTGCCAACCCCACTGTTGCCATTGCCACAACCACATATAAACTAAACATAGAAATTGTCATTATTAACTTGCAATAATTTCAACCAGACATAAGAATGGAGTGGTGATTATATTTCACTTCATTGCATTCTACTCCAATTATATTCTTGAACGTGTACCATTTTGTTACATCCTACCATACATACCTTGATACATCCCTTTTTCTGATATATGCTGAACAGCAGTGTAGAGGGTGCACATCATTTATAGAATTGCACTGGCTTTCTTCCTAATGACAGTTGTTCGACAGTTTATGTTAGAATGTTCCATCTTTGTCTTAGGGAAGTAAATGTTATGCAATTTTACCCTTAGGAATATAGATACTCCGCCAGAGATTGCAAGTTTACACCGTTGATGCAGGTTAAAAGGAGAGAGATGACAATAGGGCATTTGATGGGAACACATTGAATTCTTAGGCTTTTCATTTCATTTTTTTTTCTTTTTGGAAATAAGAAATGGTTAATAATTTTGGTTTTTGAATAATCATTTCTATTGTGTATTGTTAATTTTATCTCTATTTCCTTTTTTTTTCAGCTCACCAAATTATTTTTAAGGTCTTTTTACCCTTTGCTTTGTCTCTGTTATGTGTATTGCAGGAGCTGAATATGGAGGCCTTTCGTTTCAGGGATGAACTGTGGATGGGAATTCGTGATCTTACTAGGAAAACAGATTTGATTATTCTTGTGCATAACATGTCGCATAAGATTCCTCGAAGTAATAACTCAAATGCATCACTGCAACAGCCAGTCCTTTCAGTTCTTCTAGACGAGGCTAAAGCTCTTGGAATTCCTTGGGTTCTTGCCATAACAAATAAGTTCTCTGTTAGTGCACACCAACAAAAGGCAGCAATTGATGCTGTTTTGCAGGCATATCAAGCATCTCAAAGCACCACAGAAGTTGTGAATTCCTGTCCTTATGTTATCCACAGTGCTGCAGCCAGTGCTTCTTTGTCATTGGCTGCAACTGAGAGAGATTCTGGTGGGGTTGCCCAAAAACTTATTTTTGCACCAGTTAATCTTGTTCGGAGGTCCTTTCAGAGGAGAGACACCATTTTTCCCGTTGAGGGTGTGAACTCCCTTTGTCAACTTGTTCACCGTGTGTTGCAGAGTCACGAGGAGGCCTCTTTACAGGTAGAAAGACTTAATCAAGTATGGTTCTGAAGATATATTATCGTTGACTTGGTATATGTTAAGTAGATAAGGTGGGTAAGGAGGTATTATGACCTACCTCTAATCACAAAACATGATTTAAAAAGAACGAGGTTTTTTTGTTGGATGTCCTATTAAAATCTGAATTTCAAATAAAATACGGTAATTTTGATTTTATTCAAACACACGATTGAGTGATTTATGTTACAAATTGAAGTTAAAAGTGATTGGTTTAGCTATTAAGTCTACCGATCACTGATAGAGCCTGAAATACTTGAAGCAGATAGTATTTGATAATAAAGGAATGAATTTAAATTTCTCTAACAAAAAGAGTTGCACGTGTTATTATGTATGCTGCAGATGAGAAAACTTTTTGTGTATGCTGCAAAGCTCTCGTGTTTTTCATACAGGTCCATAAAGAGATATTGAATCTTATGTGTTTTTTTGTTTGATTCAAGGAACTAGCTAGAGATAGACTTTTGGCAGAGCTGGCACGGGAGACTGCAATGGCAATCGATGCAAATCGAGAGTCTCAAGCTAAGGCATCTTCGCTGACAGCTGCAGCTGTGGGTGCTTCTCTTGGGGCTGGTGTCGGACTTGTCTTGGCCGTTGTCATGGGTGCCGCCTCTGCTTTACGGAAGCCCTGAGTATTTTTCTTTCACCATTGAGTCACCAATGCATGTTTTACCTGAGTATTTTTCTTTCACCATTGAGTCACCAATGCATGTTTTAGATGTCGGAAGCCCTGAGTATTTTTCTTTCACCATTGAGTCACCAATGCATGTTTTAGATGTCGGAAGCCCTGAGTATTTTTCTTTCACCATTGAGTCACCAATGCATGTTTTAGATGTCGGAAGCCCTGAGTATTTTTCTTTCACCATTGAGTCAACAATGCATGTTTTAGATGTTGAACTCGCCTAGCTGATGTACATCATATTTTCTCAGTAGTTTAGATGTGTGGATAGCTACTGGTAAGCCATTTATTTATTCAATTCTCTCTGTAAATTCACTGCGAGCTTGAGATGCTTGCTTGAATTCTCCTATGTATTATAAGAATCTCATCAATGGTTATTATGATACAGTCTTTACCCATGATTTGAGAGGCAAATGCTTTTGTTAGATGTGTGAGGGAGGAGAGTTTATAGATGCAAGTACTGTATGTATAAATAGATTAAACATTTTAAATAGTTTTCAAGAACAAGGGATGTTTATCTACTTTGATGTTCGAATCCCCTCTTTACATAAAAAGGTTTGAAGATAATATTGCCAATTCTTAACCCCCACAAATCAAAAATGAAGATAACACAATTCCAAAGAGGTCAATGTATAACTTCTATCGTATATTTAAATCGAAATTGAAAATACTCAAATGATCAGCACCAATTATCGACAACAAGAAGGTGGACAAGATTGAAAGAACAGAGATCATGTAGAGCAGCATGAAAAACTACTTTGCTTAGCTCCATCTTTAACGAGACTGACTCGATTGACAGTCAACTCGGCCTTGTATGAATCAGAGTTGAGAATTTTCCGGCTCACATTTTTATAGATCTCGCGGATTACGACTTCAAAAGCAGTCTGAACATTAGTAGAATCAAGGGCTGATGTTTCCATGAAGAACAAACTTTCTTCTTCTGCAAGGCTTTTGCCTTCCTCTACGCTCACTTCTCTAATATTCTCCAGATCACACTTGTTCCCTACGAGCATTCTTGCCACTGCAGTATCACAATGAGCTGCAAGATTATTTAAAACAAAGTCAAACTCGGTGATTCTGAAAAATGAAAAAACCGCAAACTAAAATACTTGTCAGCCTGAAAATTTTCCTTTAGGGCTTGTTTGGTGTAAATGAGCTGTACAAAAGAATTTCATGTTTTCGTGTTTGGGTGTGAAGGAAAATTTTTATTTCACCCCCATGAATCTAATTTTATGGAATTCAAAGCAACCACAACAAATTTCATTGCTTATAGATGAATTTCATATTTCAGATTCATTCATGTGAAACAAGAACAGGGAGCTAAAACTGCGTAGGTGCAGAGCATGAAATGCTATTAGGTTCCAGAAACTCAGAATTCTTATGGTGTAACGTGCAGCAAGGAAATAACTCTCTTTAAAAAATCAAACTTCTACAAATTTATAAAGAGTTAACTGTACTAGATTGCTATTTCAAAAATTTCATGGATCAAAGGATGAGACAGATGTTTCCAGTTCAATGGTTATGGCAAACACTGGTTAGCTCAGTTCAATTAAACCCTGATTTCAGAATTGGCACTGGCTTGACGAATTCTACGGTAAAAGTATCTGTCTAGAACTACATTCTCTATGAGGTCAAGCACATTAAACCTCTCAAATACTGAACGAAAATGAGAAAAAAAAAAAAAAAAGAAATTCCAATCAGCTAACTATTGATATTGGATAACTAATTACGTAATAACATGAATGCTGTTTTTGGTTTGGTCAATGTCTACTTATACATTAGGAATCATTTTAAGCAATTCCCAGTATTGGAACTGAACAATAATCCATCATGAAAATTCAGCAGATAATTTCTTTATTTGGTTTCTAAAAAACTAAAGAGAGAAAAATAATTTTTTAAATGAATTTTATGCAATTGCAAACTATTTAACAAGAAGTCCTCCTAATGTCAGTTTCATCCTGTATAATTCCCAAATCTTCATTTACTCTATTTCCTTTACTATCTTCAGCTAATAAAGAAAATGTAGGCCATAGATTTCTAATAAAGAAATCAATCACAAAGTTATTTACAAATATAGTTCAGTTATCAATTCAAAAACATAAACAAAAATAAAAATAGGCACCCAAACTAGCAAATAGTTAGCCAATAATGAGCTTATCAAGAGCAAAACCAATATTTCTCCACTATCTAAGCAAGCATACAGAAAAAGCAACAAAAGAAGAGAAAATAGTTACTTACTACTAAGCTCCTCAAGCCATCTTTTGACACTATCAAAGCTTGTTCTTCTAGTAATATCATAAACAATTAAGGCCCCAACAGCACCTCTATAGTAGGCAGAAGTAACAGCCCTAAATCTTTCTTGACCAGCAGTATCCCAGATCTGTGCTTTAATTTCTTTACCATCAATATCTACCACTTGGGTCTGAAATTCTACACCAATTGTGGCCTTAGAATTGCTGTCAAACTCATTTCTAGCAAATCTTGATAGTAAATTAGATTTCCCTACTGCAGAATCACCTATTAGTACTATTTTAAACAAATACTCTTCACCTCCTTCTCCCTGTTGAGCCTTACCCATTGCAATGTGTTCTCTTGATGTGACTTTGGTTTGTGTGAGGATTTGTGGGATTAAATGATAATGGGTATGCGTGTGAATGTGATTGTGAAGTAGGGTTTTAGAGAAAAGGAAAAGTGGTGGCACAGACAGCTGCGTAATTGGCGGGGTTTTTCTGTAAGGAAATTTGGTGGTTGCTTTGACTCTGTTTAGTTGGGCGAGTCTTATAGTTACACTTCATACCAGTGGCTATCTTTCGGCTAAGGCTCTGTTTGTTTTCTCGAGAAATATCTCTTCATTTCATTCTTTTTATTATTATTATTATTATTATTTACAAATAGGGTGTAAACTGTAAATGGATACATTGATAAAAGAAATGTTTACTGAAACTTAACATATTTCTCTAAATTAAACTCCTATTTTCAAAAAAAAAAAATCTAAATTAAATTCTTCTTTGAAATATTCTGATTTATGCATTCAAAAGTTATTTGTCAATACTCAATAATTTTTCATTTTTATTGAGGAAAATTTTAGGACTCACCAGTCACAAGATCAAACCCTAACAACTCTCAGAATGGATTTTGTCACCCTAAATTCTTTTCTATTCTTGATTTTTTTTTTATTTTTAAGTATAAAGTATTTATATGTACAGGTAATTTGTTTAGTGTTAGAAAGAAATTTGGATAAAATAAAAAAGTAAATTTAACAGTTGGATTATTTATGCATATGTACAAAATTAAATTTTAAAAAAAAAATTACATCATGTTAAATCTTTTATTACACTCCTAAATCCTCAACGTAATTGGTGTTTGTTAAAAGTTAGAAATTTTTTGTTTATGATTGTTTAATTTCCCAACCCATCAAAAGTTAAGCTCTTGGATTCTTTTGACAATTGAATTTTTTTTTTTTAGCTAAAAAAAAAGAAGGAATTACTAGGTATGTTGGGCATAGTCTCGTTGGCTTGGACCACTGGTCAGGTGTTGACATTCTGATTTAAAACGCCTGATAGGGAGCACTACCCCTGAGCATTGATGAAACACGTTGCCTCTTCCTGTAAGATCTTAGCATTGTGTTTCTCAGCCCACTACAGTAGAGCCTAGCCAAAGCAGCCCACTCGAATTAGTTGAGAATTGAAACATTGTGTCTTTTAATAGCATCATCACATAGGTATTTATTTAACTAGGCCCATTTTCGTAATTTGGCCTGAATTTTCCTACCTAGATTCATCATTTCTAATAACCAAGATTGTTGAAATCAACCTCCTGAATTAATAGGTCTGCTATTTTCTTTAATTTCTCTTCTACTCTTGGTTGGATGAAAATCTAAATATTCATAAATGCTTTTGTCAATTAAAAATCAGTAAATGATCTTTAATTATTAGTTGTAGCATATAAGATAGTTTTGGAATCAAATTATTATACTATTGAGTAAAGAGTAAACGCATTTAGCTCAGTTTATTCGGTTTAAAATTAGTTCGATTTATTTTTCAATTAAACTGTTATGTTGATTATGTTTTCTTTAATATACATTTTTATATTTGATATATTTAATTTTTAATAATGAAACAAATTAAACTTTATGAATTAAAAGCAAATTTTAAAGTGCAAAAATTGAATAATTTTTTGATACATGATGTCAAATTATGATATTTGTATTATGTCTCGAGGGTGGAATAAATTCTGGAATTTTAAATCCATACATAAAAATATAAATACTTACTCATGGCAAACACCTGGATTAAATCAATCTGAAATTACTTATTTTAAAACCATTTATCATTTACATCGAATATTATATGTTAAATATAATAATAGAAACTTCCAAACATAAATTGTAACAATTTAAATATATTCTTGAAAAAACAATTTAAATATAATAATTTTGAAGTGATTCATCATTTAAACCAATTACTAAATTTCAAATGAGCTGGTTCTAATTGGTTTTTTAATCATTGAACCCAATTTTTTACTTTTTCCGTTCTTTTCATCAATCAAACTGGACTAATAGTTAATATATTCATGAGCAAACCAATCTAATTGGCCGGTCAGATTTGATCGGCTCAAATTCATTACTAACTCATGATCAAATTAATTGAAGATAAATGATTAGTAAAAGCACACTACCGTAAATACTTATCACATTTAAAAATATACCATATTCTAAAATACTTATTACATTTGTGATTTCAAAGAATATTATTTTTTTTTTCATATTTACCCTCTGTATATGATTAACAATTATTGTTTAAATTTGATATTTGGATATATTTAATTAAGGATAATATAATTAATTTACTCAATAATTTATTGTAATTAAGATAAATTTAATATTTTTTTAAAAGACGTAAAAATTTAGGAACTGAGATATTTATAATTATACATCATTTTGTTAACTTCTAGAAACAACCATGGATAGGACCGAAAGAATTTCATGTTTGACAAAATCTATTACTCCATCCTGAAGAGGAGAATTAATAGGTCAACCAAGAGTACCAATTCATCTCGGTGATTTTGTGTGCAAGCTTGTACATAGACATTAGCGTAAGATATGATCATGACTTATTAGATGTTGCCTCTATGAAATACGTATGCTGAATTCGGAAAAATCAATTAAATTGACCAGTTTAATTCGATTTGGTTCAATTTTTTAAAAATTTAGGTTGGCTTCATTTTTAATAAATTAAAATTTTTTGGACTCTATTCTGTTATTATTATTTAGTTAAGGTCAACTTGATTAAATTTAAAACTTAAATTAAAATAATAAAAATATCAAGCTGAACCAACTACTTTGGTTTGGTTTTATAAACAATTTAATTTGATTCTTTTTTCTCTAAAAATATTTGATTTATTTGAATTCTATCGAACCAAACAGACCGAATCCTTATTCATACTCTAATTAACTTACAAAAAAAGGGTAAGAATTTATAATACAATTCGATGACTAAATTTTGAGTAATTAAAGAAAGAAACAAAAATTTAAGATAAAAAATAATAAATTTCCTCCATTTAAATATTGCCAAGCTGAGATCAGGTTTAATCGAGACATCAAATACAGCTGTAGAAGGAAATAAAAAAAGGGGTTATGCTTGAATTAATCCCATGTTGCCAATATAATCCATTACACTAATCATGATTTCATCTTTTAAAAAAATTTGAGAGAGAGAGAGAGAGAGAGAGCACGGATGATAATTCATCCAAAGACTTTCTAGAAAGTAGAAACATCCCTGTCCTCCACTTGCTGTTCATTGTCTTAAGTGACGAGCTATTTTAAATATTACTGTATTAAGTCAACAATTTCCGCTTGCATATCCCCACTTGCACTGACATTAAGAGGAGACCACCTTTACTAGCTCTTCTTCTCATCATATTATCTCTGTGCACCACCAACTGCAATGGTCAAGACCCTTTAGGTAATTTATGCAATGATCAACAAACTAATAATAAAACTACCATCCAAAATATCAACCACTTAATAACCGAGCTAGTTTCAAAAGCTTCTTCTTCCGGTTACTTCACCACCACCTCCGGCCAAGGCCAAGATAAAATATACGGCCTAGCGCAATGCAGAGGTGATGTTAGCACCGACGACTGCTCCGGCTGCCTCCGTGACGCTGCCAAAGAAATCGGCCAGCGCTGTCCGAATCAAGTTGATGCAAGAATTTGGTATGACTATTGCTTTTTAAGGTATAGCAATATAGATTTTATCGGAAAGCTTGATACTTCTTATGCTCTTTTTTACTTTAACGTTGAAAATGTTACGGTGATAGACCCTGAAGCTTTTAACCAAAAATTGGGGAATTTGATTGATGAAATTAGATCAGAAGCTGTAAAGGAAAAGAATAAAGGGATTGGTAAAGGGGAGACAAAGTTGACACCTTTGGTTACACTTTATGCATTAGCGCAATGTACAAGAGACTTGGCTGTTGTAGACTGTGCGCAGTGTATAGCCATTGCCGTCGGTAATTTCCCTAACTTCTGTAACAACAGAAAGGGTTGCAGAGCTATTTACAGTAACTGTTATGTCCGATATGAGCTCTATCCATTTTTCTTTCCTCTCGATTCATCTAATAATTCTTCATCTGTTGGTAATTAGGTTTATCTGAATTGAAGGTCATTACAGAAGCCCGTTGACTATAAATAATAATACTTGTTTGTAAAAAAAAAAATTTCTTGAATTTGCATGCCGTGTTAGGATTAATATATAATAAGATATAATTTTATATATAAGTTGTTGTTAGAAGAGCAGAAAAAATTAAGAAGAGAAGAGAAATTCGCAGAAAAAGAAAAAGCTGCAAAGATTTGTGAGTGTAGAAGAAAACAATATTCTTATTAATCAATACAGAAAAAAAGAAAAAAAATAATAAGAAAAACAAGATGTCACAGTTTGTTCACCCAACCTTCATAAGTAAGGAAGTTGTTACTTCACCTACCTCTTGATTTCAACAAAATACAACAAAATCTAAATGACTTTAACAAAATACCTTCAAAAATTGTCAACAACACTTGCATCAATAGCTGTAGCTGTAACTTTAACACTCCTCCTTGATACAAGAGTTGAGACAAACACCAAGTCTATTCCTAAGAAATTCAAATCTTGGTTTTTGCAATGCCTTGGTGAAAATATCCGCTGTTTGGTCTTCAGAATTGCAATGAATAATCTGAATTTCATTTTCCTTTTCAGCTTCACGAATTGCATGATACTTGATTTTGATATGCTTGGTTTTTTTGGTTTTCCATGGAATTGGATTTAACCATAGCAAACAGTGATTGTTTTGTCACAAAGTATTTTATTGGATTTTCTTCCTGAAATTCGATCAACTAATACCTTTCTCACCATATAGCTTGGTTACAGCACAATGCTGCAAATACTCTTCTTTTGCATTGATTTGGAGCACTGAAGCTTGACTTGTGTCCCCAAATGACAAGAGATACATTGAAAACAAGAACCCAGTAGTGCCTATTCATATCGCCATGAACCACCAATCACTGTCTGAGAAACCCCCAACAACTTCACACCATTTTA